ACACACACACACACACACACACACACACACACACCTGCATTTCTGCTGACCGGAAAGAAAGATCAGCCAACATCACTGTGGGTGCAGCAGGGGTCCTTCCAGTCCAAGCTCAGAGGGGAAGTCTTCAAGGAACACCACACTCATCACAGCTGGCTGGAGTCCCTGCTTATCTTAAATGAACGGCGTTTACCGCTCGTTGTCACACCGAAACACTTCTTAGCCGCCACTTTTTACCCATAGCTGACTTACGTGCTGTTGATAATCTGGAACCTCTCTCCTTTCCTGAAGGTGAGGTCGTCCTCCGTCCGCGCCTCGTAGTCGTAAAGTGCCACGAAGAGGGTGACTCCTGCGGGAGGGACGGAAAGCACAGCGTCAGCGCTCGGCAGTTGCCAGTCGCCTTCACCATATTGCTTGAATTACAATGACATTTAGAAATGTTTTTCATGGTCCCCGCAGGATGAACCGTAACAACTAAATAACCCCCTAACTTTTTATCTGGCGCCACCAGCATGTCAAACTTTTCAATCATCCAGTGAACATCGACTTGATGGATTGGCTGCGTTTGACCGTTTTTGTGGCTTTTCTAAATGGGGGGGGGGGGGTCGGGGCAGCCAGCACAGCCTGGCCGTTCAGAACAGCTATGAACACTTCGGTTGTTGTCAGACGACACGTCGGGGCTCCGATACGGTACGGCGTTCCTGAGGTTGAACCGGCGCCGTAATGGCAGAATAACCTTTGCAGAATCATTCTCCCAAACTAACCCGAAGTCACCTTCTCCTCTCCATGGAGTCTTATCCCCTCTCCCATATCTCCCCTCCATTAATCCTACTAATTCATGCTCTCGTCCTGGCGGAGAACAGCAGCGCTCATTTGAATATCTCACAGCGGCACTTTCTCTCACAGGAACCACTCCCCGGCGTTACGCTCCTGCTCATTGCTCGCTCCTGGCGAACGTGACGAAAGGAAGTCGGGCTGGTTGCAGGATGTGTAAACAGATCGCAGCGGGAGGGGAGCAATACAAATGAAGATGGGAGGAAAAGCTCTAACTGTTAAACGGCCCTTTTAGGGGTGCCGGGTAAAAAAAACACAAATAGAACAAATAGTCCATGATTAAGAGACGACGGAGAAACGATAGAGGAAAACATTTAGTAAAGATATAAACTCCCCGGGGGACGAACTAAATCACATAATAGGGCTCGCATCTCAATATGGCTTCATTTGAGTGAACACAAAATGTGAAATTACACTCTGAAAAGATGAATCACTCATTCTCGCTTACTTTTAATTGGGGTTACAGGGTTATATAGTAGTTTGAGAGCTCCGTCTGTAAATGGATTCACTTTCCAACAACTGAATAAGACGCCGAGCTCTTTGCCGGTTGACTCGCTCTGTGTTTCTCTTAATGACAGAATCAGCTAAATCCCTACAACTAAGTTTTCGGGGGGCATGGGAATGCCAGTCTGAAGCAGAATGCGTGACGCGTCAGTAATGTGAATCCAGCCGGGTGGGGTAGGGCCACAAACGTCGATCGGTCTAGTGACAGGAGCTGTGATTTGGGGATGCCTCAGTCCAGTTCGACTCCCATGAGGCCGGCTAAAAACCTCGCTTGATAAAAGCCAGTGGCCTGAAAACCATTATCGTTCCATTATCTCGCCCACAATCGACTCTACTGACGTACGAGACTGGCAGCATCACAGTGGCTGAAACAGAGAAGAATTTGTCTGCGCCAAAGTTACTGAAAAGTGTTTGTAGTAATAAAAGTTTTTGCACAATTTCGATAACACTTAGATCTGCAGTGTTCCCCAGAGAATGTGGTTCTATTAGTGGTGGTACACTTGGGAATTGGGGGTGGGAATCACGGTAAAATACATTACTATGAAATGAGTTTATGAAATTATGAACAGTGTTATAAACTGGAATTCTCCTTTAAGAGGTCTGTCTCTCCATCACCATCGCTCACTGTCGTAGTTTGATTGGTCTTGACTCATAACAGCACAGGAGTGCAGCGATCAGACGGCAGCACTCAAGAGTGTTTCGCTCAGGTCTGAGGCGACTGCAGCTATTAAGCTGTTTCATGCCTCTGAGTGTTTGACAAATGGAAGTCGAATGGGCACTTCTTCAAAGCCCACTTAAACTCTCTTGATCAAATTTTTTTTTTTCACTTCAGACGCTCTGACTGGGACTGAGGCTCTCTGGGAAACCGTGTTGATATGAAGAGAGGGCGTGCGAGGCATCTCTCTGTCACAGATGGAGAGGACCCGCCACCATTTACGTGTCAGACAGACGGGAAAACAGAGAGAAGGGAGGGCACACTGTTCGGAAGAGTGTGTCTGATTGGAACGCAACGCAAGACCCTGAACGCCTCACCGCTGTGGTTTCGTACTGTTCGAATGTTTCATTAGTTCAGCAGAGGTGGGCGTCAGGTATAAACTGGCATATTGATTCATCCCGGAGCTGTCTGCGGGGATCCCACTCAATGAGTTACATAAGGTCAGAGGAATTTCTATTTGGCGAATGGACATCAGCAAAAGATCAACTGATGATCAATAAGATTTCTGATGCCAACCGCAATTTGGGCTCCTCTGCAGGGCGACGGAGGGGATTGATTGTGGCCGTCAGAGCAAACAAGCTCGGCAGCTGTGTTATAACAGGGGTTGGGAGGGAAGGGCCGGCTTATGCCCACATTTCCCCCCACCAGGAGAAAATTAAAAAGCTAAAACCCCCTCTCTGCTCCTCTGCCCACCGAGTGGATTTGGATTATGCGGCGCGGAACATAATCCGCACTTTGAGGGAGAGGGCTCCTGCTAGGTCGAGTGGAAACGCAGAGTTCCTCTGCAGAGCCGGCCCGGGGCTCAGTCCAAACATAAAGGATATCCTGAGTAGGAATATTCCCCTACATAAACAAGGATCCCCGGCTCACAAAGCCCCAGCGCCAAAGCCAGCCGGATGTTCCTGACAGGGAGTGTCGGGGGGCTGGGCTGGTCGTCGGCAGTGGGGCTGCACGAGGGGCTGTGAGGTGAGGATCGCCAAGATTTTGGGCTGACGAAAGAAGTCTTTAAACGCACAAGGCTCCCCGAAGAGTTCAAACGGAGGTGTGTGTGTGGGCGGCCTGCGAGCCAGTCTGTCACTGGGTGTGTAGAATGCTGTAACTGCGTGGGAATGCAGTCAAAAGAAATGACCTTCACACTCCACCGCTGCAGACACTTTCCGTGTTCCGACAAAACAATAAAGACGCACTGAAGTACCAATGAGTTACTTCCTCCTCCTCTGTTCTTTCTAAAATACAGATCGTCTCTCTGAGCCTTTGCTGTCTCTTTGAGATCACTTTTTGATTGACGGTCATTCCCCCTGGAGATTTTGCCTATTTTTGAGTGCAAAAAGCATGGACTAAGTGCGATTTCAGTGACCAATCAGAGAGCTTTATATTTGATATTCGAGCAGGTACCGTGGTCGGCAAACACGTCTGACGGTGACTCTTCCTAACTAGCTGTGAACATCCCTCACCTGTCCCGCCACGGGTCCTCAGGGTTCCGGTGTGAGAGGACGTGCTGACCCCCCCGAAGACGGTCATCCCCTGTCCGACGGGGGCGTTGAAGTTGTTGTAGTTGGGGATGGCGGCGACCCCGAAGCTGGGGTAGTGCTGCGGCGTGGGGTCGGCCCCATAGCGGTAGCCCGCTCCCTGGGAGATGCTGGTGTCACGGTCGTCCGTGAGTTTGGTTACTTCCTTATCCTTGCATTGCACACAGCCCATTATCTATAATCTGTGGACGACAGGGGGAGGAAAAAGGGGGGTTGGTTTATGTTTGTTTATAAAAGACAGCAGGAAGATTACATGTTGATAAAGGGCGGGAGAAATAAAACCACAAACAGGCTAAAAGAGCATTAACGCAGGCAATGAATTTAACTTATGTACTATGAGCTGGACGGCTGGATCGATGAGATGAAAAACAGTCCGTCTGTCTGTGCTCAGCGCACCCGAACATAGCTGCACTCATCGCTCCGCTCAAGGTTCTCCGCTCATGCTGCTTTCTCTGCGGACGACATTCTTCTGCTGATCGGCACTCTAGTCGGGCAGGCAGGGACATTGAGTTTATAGCCTGACACACACACACACACACACACACACACACACACACACACACACACACACACACAGCCCGTGTCCCCGGATGACTCACACAAACAAGTGTGTCTCTTTCTCGGTCAGGGGGGAGGGAGTAACGGGCTTCGGAGAGCGGCGCGAGGACAGAGTGAGGACGGACAACCGGCCTACGCCTGTCTTAAACATTTTGGACAGAGCGTTGGACTCTATTCTTTACCGTGCTGTCTACAGAGAAATCCTCTCCCATAATCCCACTTATGTAAAAGTTCTCTTGCACTGCACGTTAAGCTGCAAGTCAAGGCCCCCTTCCAAGGGTCTGGGATCAAACCCACAATGGACCAGCCCCCCCCTTAAAGGGTCTGGGGGGGCGACCCAAAGCACACATGTTTATGAATGTTATTATTTCCGTTATTTCCCCTATTTATTTATTCATTTACTTTCTTATTGTCTTTTCACGTTTTGCACATTTGTAATAGAAAGAAGGTTTCTGTAGCACATGTAGGTACCGCTCCAGACTACAGTCTTAAAGAAACATCTTGAAATACTTTCTCAGTAGTATATTTATAACTAAACTGAATGATGGTCATTCCCTCGGCAAAATTAATTGCTGAGATTTGAAAAATGACGCACCGCAGCGGGGGCACAAGATTACCCTTGGACAATGTTGCGTACCCCCAGAGGAATCAACGCCGTCCAATTGTTTCTCTGCAACAAGGACGAAAATACCAGCGTCGGGCGCGGAGACACAACGGGCCATAAATCCAGGTTCTCCTCTGAAGACAAAGTGTCGGTCTGGCCTTCAGCCAGTCTGTCCTCAGAATATGTCACTTGAGAATATATTTCACTCTCTCTCTCCCTCCCCCCTGCCTTCCCTCTGTCTCAGTCACCTCATCCGACTGCGGAGAGAAGCAGGATTCACTTGTGACACACCGTGAGGACAGAGAGGAGAATGATGAATGAGGAGCGTGGGCTTCCCCTTTTCTTAGGAGCGGCAATAAACAAGTGGAGGATCGTAGAGGAGGAATCGCACTCCTCAGTGTGGCTGACAAACAATAAACCTGAAAAGAGATAATCACGCCCCGATCTAATGAGTAGCTGCCGTAAACAAGAGGCTGAAAAGTAACCGAACAGCAACACCAGCACACAATATCTATCATCCATCACTGTGAAATCTGCTGTGGGCATTCATGTTGCCCAGAGGATGGTCCATAAGGTTTTTGTCTGGTGCCACCACGGACACCAGACATTTTATAGACCAAACGAGGAATCAAAAGAGAAATACGATGACCCGCCCCGCGATCATATGCCTCCACCAACCAGTCAGGCTGCAGTTTACATCCATACCTGTGGAAAATGTCATCAGTTCGCTATTTTATCCGATCAGACATTTGTGTGAAATTGCCATAATTAGCGTATGACTTGTCACGTGTCGTGTGAGGACATCGGTGGAGATGTGAGTGGGAGTACGAGAGAGGAGTGCAGAGTGTTGTCAGTGTCAGTTTTCAATGTCATGGCTGAATATTTAGATCAACAACGTGGATGAGTACGCAACATTTCTGTAAGAGACCTCTCCTCGAGCGAGACGTGGTTAGACAATAACGAGCAGACCGGATGAAGCCAAAAGTAAAAACAAAAACAGGTTTAAGTTCTGTTAGGTCCTTTCCAAATGACAAAAAAATGCTGATTCGTAAGGGACTAATATTATGAGTATATACGGTAGGTCATTTGTTGTGAATACTAGTCCTATGTGTCTACGGCTATAGACTCAAAAACATGGGAAAATAGTGTTAACATACCAACGTTTCTCTTTCAGCAACATGTCGTAATAATTCTTCCATCACTGATCAAAACAGGATACTTGAGCATGTAAAAGTACCCATTCTTACAATTACTACTGTACTTAATTGACTCAATTATTTACATGTGGCTCCTTCCATCCAGGATTTCCATATTGATAATCATAATAAACCCTGCGACGTCTCGGATTCAGCTGGCAGGTCTTTAACCTCCGACATTCAATGCAACTTTTACCACTTTAGAATGATGGTCTTTGTTGATGCCGCCTCGCCGCCGACAGCAGCCCTCTTCTCCGCCAATTTAGGACGGGAGCCAAACACTGACTGACACGCTGTGACCACTCTCTCTCAGCATAATTACAGGCCCATCCCTCAGACGGCACGCGGAGGCCGAAACGCCCGTCAGCCACGATCAGAGGTTGTCACAGGAAGTGAGAAAGTACCGTATTATTTGTGTTTTCTTGTTTTTTTCAAACCCAAACAAGAAAACACACCAAGGACCAACCTTTTCAAACTGAATGCCCATGTCTTCTCTCTTATGTGTTCATTGTGTGCCTTGCTTTTAATGTTAGCATCTTTCACGAGTTAAAATGAAATTGCCCGATATGTGTAACTAAAGGCAACAGCAGCGGCGATGCCACGCTCGGCGCCAGACTGCCGAGCGTCTCTAATCGTGTGTGTGCTCACAGCGGACGGCTGAGACCAGGAAGTGCTCGCCGTTCTGACTCTTGACCCCGTGACCGGCAGAGGCACACCGAGTCAGCTTTGGGATACAAATGTATTGATCCCTCTGAGCCGGACGGACGGTATTTCCTGTGCAGTGGGTACAACGATAACCTTTGGAGTCGGGGTGTGTTTCCGGGGAGAGGTCTGATTTAGCATCACAGCCGGTCGTACGGAGCCGTCACGTGGGTAGGTGGCTCTGATGGATTTCTGATTCTGATTCGGGGCAGATCATCTCACCCCACTGCGATGTGTCAAGCAAATGAAAGGGAAAAAACGACAAAAAGTGTCTCAGTAAGCAATCTGCTCGAGTCCGAAGACAGCCGTTGCAGTAATAATCCCGTTTGCCCGACGTCTTCCTCAGCAGAGCTCTCTGCAGGCCCGGCAAAGGGCCGAGCTCATCGCCCGTTGCTCTCTTTGAACTGAAGGCTCTTTCATCTCTTTATTTCTCTCTTCCTTCCCTCCTTTTCACGCAGCCCTCTCTGCTGATTAATTATTCCTCCTTCGCATTAAAAAAAAAAAGCCGCCACCTGCTTGCCGTAGGGGCTGTTTTTCGTTTTTTTCAATCCCAGAGGGCTGTCGCTTCACTAAAATGAAAACGTTCCAGAGTATCTAAAATGTATACGCTTTCATATAATATGAAATGAATTATTCTCCTTTTGTTGGCTTACAGCTTTCAGTATGCCGTCATGATTCACGTCGGGCCGAGCGCCTCCTCAGCCGCTTTCAACAAGAAAAATCTAATTTCAGGGCAGGACGTGACCAGCGGTGGAGTGGGCTCTATAAATAGTTAACACAAAAAGGCTATTGATAGAACACTGGATCGACAAAATTAATTAGGTGCTTTAATTGGTGCCAACGACTGAAAGCATGTGCACATGTAAAGAGAGTGATTTAATGAGTGAATGGGAGTGAAGACTGGTTAAGTCAACATGAAACAAGGTGGCGTCCAATGGTCTGAGAAAAGATAGGCGGATAAAGAAGGGTGCTGAGGCGGGGGGTTTATACAGAGGCACGCCCATGTGCACGTGCTACTCTGAGTGAATCATTTATGGGAAGGTTGCACAGAGCTGAAGGTATGTCATGGCGTTCGGGGGCAGCCGTCCGGGGACCTGAATTTACATTTGATGGAGAGGTGATGGGGCGGGTCCTCTGGGGCTCTGGGTGGTTGTTGACGGAGGTCTTACTATCACGGTTTAACCCCTCGGGGAAAGGCTTTTTCCACCCCATCGGTCATTGGAGGTGTGAAGTGAACCCCGGCGGGATCGTGTCCGTGTGAGTGAAAACACCTCCGGCTCCAGGAGAGTGGAAAGAGGGTGGGTGGAGGCTGGAGAGGTGCGAACTAATTTGTTTTCGCACGGATTGGGACATACATGTGGCAGAATTATTATTATACAACTCATCACAATTTTAAACCGTGCCGCTGGAAACAGAGAGCTCTCGGCTCGGGACCCATCTCCCTCCCATGTCTGCAAAGGCCGCTGATGATGCAACCGACCCTGCTGTCTCTCACTCTGTTGTTGTACAGCCAACCCATCATGATAATAATCACTTTACACCGTCCTCGTGCTGTGCCCTTCATCAGGAGGAACACCAAAATAGACAGACAGAGACAGAGAGGTCTACACGGAGTCATAATGAGGTAGAAAACCACTACAGAGGAGGAAGAACGGTGGCTGATCGAGAGGAGGAAGAGGAGGAGTGAGATGGAACTGAAGCATAAAGGCGAGAGTGGATGGACAGGAAGTCCCCCCCCCTCCCGACTCTTGTCAAAGGGAGCGGGATAATGATGGACTCCGGGTTGTCACATGCTGCGCCGGCTTCTTCTGCCAGAAGGAAGGCCCTCGTCTCCGCACTCCCAGCATGCAAAAGGGACCAGCCTAGACAAACGACCTCGACCAATGTTCTGGCTTAGCTTCTCTGTGGGCAGCCCTGGCTTTGCGCCGCGAGGTCCCTGAGGTCACCTGGCACATCACAGGAAAAATCGCCGCTGCTATCCCCCCCCCCAAAAAAAAAAACCCTCCCCCCGCCCCCCAGGGCGCCCCTCCATTGCGCCATCCTGACCAATAGGAGATAAAGTAGCCTCCCCCCCCCCATTTCAGGGAACCAGGCTCTGTGGTGGGCGACAGGAAAGCACACA